AAGGGAAGCATTCACATTTATTTCATTTGTAACGGTCCCGTGTAAACATTTCGTTTGGTTTTTTTTTTACCGAAAATATGATAAAATCGAAATTAATTGAATTTGATTCGGTTGGATCTGTTGGTTGGCGGGTCGCATAAATAAATAAATGCCACGAGTAACCGATTTTTTTCGTTTCGAAGAAAAAATATTACGCACAAACATAACAACTCACCGAGTGATAATATGGAAAACTCTGAACCTCGCGGGGCAACAGAGTGTATTAACCAATATATTGGTACATTCGAATGCTGTTCATCTCAGTTCGGTCGCCTCTCGAACGCTCGACGCATACTTTTCACTTTATTTTTATTGCCATCAAAAGCGAAACATATTCGTGTTTCCCCATGGCGACAAATTTGACCGTTATTAAAAACCGGCGTAAAATATTAATTCGACATTTTTATCGATTCCAATTTCAACAAATCGAATACGCAGCGTGTGAGCGCAAATAAATTGAATTCAATTTGCAGCTTGATTTAATACCCAAAAAAAATACACAGTCGCCAGCGTGAATCGATGTTTGATGGATTTTGCCGACAGGATCCTTATTTCTATTTTTTGATTTCAACTTTTTTTTCCGGCGGCTGTTGTTGTAAATTCATGAAATTGGCAATTTTTTCTCTGGTCCAATCACACACCCAAATGAAATTGCATTTATTGAAATACAAACAAACGGCGTGAGATTGGATCAAAGTGAGTTTTTTTCTCTGTTCGATAGAGAGAAAAAAATGTGTCTGATGAAAATATTCCATGAAATTATTATCTTCATCACTGTTTTATTATTCATTAATCAAAATCTACCTCATTCATGATATCGATGTTGATGTCGAGCTCCAGTAAATCCCATTGTTGATAGAGATTATTTCAGTCTTTTTTTTCGAAATGTCGAATATTTATTTATAAATAGTCTGCCTTTTCGTACCAGTCGTGTATGTTCTTTTTAACCCGGCTCAAACAAAAAAAAATGCGCACACAAATATGAATGTTATTCAAAACGGAGCCCATGCATTTCAATTTCAAAACTGGTATTTCACTTGAATTCGCTCGTAACGTTGCATTCACTCGAGACACGACAAACAGGTCGGATGAAAGAAAAATCATTGAAAATAGAGTAGAACGGCGAATAGCTGCAATTAGACTCATATTATTTTTACACAAATCACAGCGGCACATAATTAGAATAGCATACCGAGAACGTCATCTGTGCATTTATTTAATGCTGAGCGAAAATGCGGGCGCCGAGAAAAGTGGATCATAGTGCGCTTAGACGACGATGATATTTACAAACATTTATACCACAAGTTCATAGTGTGTTAATGGATTCAAACCACACATCCGGGTTAAAATAAAATGTGCTGTAGCTGCTGCATCGTCGTGTTTCATCCTTATATTCACTCGTTCGCACGAGAGATGCGAGCATATTTTCCGTATTGAAAATAGTAGATGATGAATGGTTCTATTCTTGATATTTCTGATTGTTAAACATTGCTGTTGTGTACTTGTAAATTGTTGCAACGCAAGCGATACTACTCGAATCGATTGTGTGAAATGCACGTTTGGGCGCATATAGAACATGAATCATCGTTCGTTAAACCAAAAGGAGCAGAAAAAGAATTAATGTTCGACATACATTTTCGTGATTTTTATGCATTTCTTTAACAATTTGAATGAATTGCAAAATGAATTGGTATTGATTGTGATCGCGACACGTTCACAAAGATATTCGCCTTTTAAGCGCACGCTGATCAATTCAAATCTCTTTGTGCAAGAGTCGCGTTCCATAATCATCGATATAAATCACTCTTCGGATGAGCAACCATACCAAAGCAATGTAGTTTTATGCATGAATGAATCTTCACCCAATGCATTTCTGTTACTCTCTGTTCGCTTTTTTTCGTGTTCTTTAATCCGAATTGATAAAATCGATTAACGGAACAAGAACATTTCCTATATTTCAAGTAAAATGTTGCCGTCGGTAATAAACATTAGTGTTCCCACATCTTTGAATGAAAAGAGTATTCCGGAGCAACGAAAATGTACCCCATGATTTTTATCAAAGAATGTGATTTATTCAATGCGATGGTTCTTTGAAGTCAAAGACTTCTCAGTTAGATTCACATTTATCATGTGATGCCATGCGAACACCAGCAAATTGATGTACTTTTTGTCGTTTGACCGTAAAACACTTTTTGATATGAATAAATTTGTCAGTAAATCGACAACTATCATTGGAACGATGGAAAAAAAACCTTTCATGTGCCCCGTCTATTAGCTTCTATTAAATGTTCGTGTATGGGTTTGTGCATCGTATATGGGTCTGTGTGCAGTAGAGATTTTCTCACATGATATCGGTCGCTCGGTTGCCACTCAACTAAACGAAATTTGAATAGTAGAGACGCATTTTATCCATGTCATTTAGATGCACAAAGGATAAAATCAATTTGCTTCTGTTGTATTTGACACCAACAGACAACAACCTAATCTACAGTGATAATAAATCAACGGGCACGATACAATGATACAACATAATAAAATAAACATCAATTTACAATGACACTGATAAAAGTGTCGAGAAAAAGATAAAGAGAGAAAGAGAAAAGGAGAGAAAGGGCCGAGGACAAAGAGAGAGAGAGAGAGAGTAAAAGAGTCAAAGTAAGAGTGAACGGTGAATAAAGAAATCGAGATTCCTTTTATCATTGCATATAAAATGTGAAATCATCGGACAATTACAAGAAGTGAGCGAGGTGAATGCAAGAATGTGTCTTTTCAAAGAGTGATCGTCTCGTTGTGATTTATTGCCGTTGTCATTTTCCCTTTCGTTTTGCAACTGTGACTCATGCAAGTCCGCTTTGTGTATGTCAACATTTATGGTGATGGAGGATTCGTTTCCACGAAGAATAAGACAACGATGACGACGACGATGACACTAAAAAAAAGAAACATCCATTCGATTGCCATATCTAGACTATGAAATGTCTCTTTTGAATATTTGAACGCAGCAATCGTCACACAGTCACTGACTAAATCCTTTGAATTTATTCGCAATCTCTTATGTCTGCCGCAGTGAAACGCTACAAAGAACATAATTATAACGATGTGGTAATTTTTTAGAAATATTTTTCTTCATTCGCTTCGTTTTTGAAGTTCATTTGAGCGCTCGTATCTCGATCTCTTAAAACCACAACTCTTGAAGGTTCAACACAACTGTGCAGACATTTTTGTAAAGTATTTTTAGTTTTTTTTTCCTCCTCATTTTTATATCACAAAAAGTAATCGCAAAGAAAACTGCTGTTATTTCTTTTTTAATTTTGTTCAAGCCGTTCTTTTGTGAAGCACTTCTGAACGCTTCGATTGTTGTTCGGTTTTATTATTAATTCGGATGTTATTGGATTCGAAAAATCGCATACGAACGAATTTCAATATATTTTTATTTTTTCTCAATCTGGTGCTTCTTCAGAGAAATGGCCAAGCAATCTGAGTTTGACGCCAACAGAAACCTCAACGGGTGGTCACAATGACATTGCCGCAAGTAGAAAAAAAAGTTTTGATTGAAGTTCTACCGTATTTTTTCTCTCCTTTGAATAAAATGCGCTATTAGGAGGCAGCCTGCGCGGCAATAAAATGATTTTCATTTTTTTTTCTACAAAGCAAAATCGTTGATTCAAAAGCCAATCGCTGTTCATTCCACTCAACATTTTCTTCATTTCCAACAATTGTCCAGGCAATTTTCCCACGCGAATGATTAACGAACGTCTAGACATATCGTCCGATTTCACCACATCTAGAGCGGAATCTTCAATCGTTTCTACGTTCTTAATGCCACCCAGCTATACTTGATACGCCTGTTTAAAATGCAAATTGCGGATACTGGCCAATTTCACTTGGAATTCGTTCGTCTGAAGATGTCATTATCAGAACGTGCGTATTTGCATAATCAGGATGACAGATATAATCATGGAAATGCGGGTCCTTTTTTGATCTTTTTTTCATTTTGATTGAAACTTTGGGTGGCCACCATTTATCATGGCATCACCGTTTCCACAGCAAATATCACAGAGAAGCTCGGCACATCGGTTTTTTTTGTGCTGCGTGTATTTTGTGTGTGAATTTTGAGATTGATGAAATTGTTTTGTACGAGCCATCCATTAACCCAATCAAAAGAACAAAACAATGCCAACAGAGAGAATATATCCATCAATTAAGGGGCTGAATGGATGTTCAACGCTAACGAGCTTTGATACATCGATATCTGATGCGTATGTTTATCTAAGGTTGTTGTCTCTCCATTTACAATCCATTGTTACGAATCAATAGTGAGTTCAAATCAAGAGACAAGCGTGGATGAATGGTTGAGTGGTAATTTTTTACATCATCGATATGGCAGTTTGTGTGATGTTGAACCCTACACACTTACAAAAGGGATAATGCCTGACATGAAATTAAATCTGCACTTTTTCTCTATTCGAAACAAAGCGTTGGAGAGTGTTTCATTGGTCTTTGAAACAAGATTTATGTAGCCATTATTACAATTTTAATCGATACGAAGAAACAACGGAGCGAAGAGCAAACTTTTTGTTTCGCTTTCACTCCATCCATCCTTTCCTTTCCTCACCCCCCCCATTTCCCTGCTTCTCTCATGCCTCATTCGGTTCCCTTTTTTCGTCGGAAAACTTTGTCATTTGATTGTGTTGATTAGATAAAAAAAAAGGGACCATTTAAAATGTCTCAGTTGTAAATCAGTTTAAAGCATCAACAATCATGCGTTTATTCACGCGAAAATTCATTTATTTGCCTCAAGACACACCAAATTATGAACACAACACAACACAACATTTCAATTGTATAGAATGATTGTGAGAATTAGATACGTAAAGAAATTAAAGAAAAATTTGCTCATTTTATCACAAAACCATTTTTTCATTGTTGACATCTGTTTTTCTCCTCTCTTTTTTTTGCAGTAATCGACTGTACGGTAAGCGAATGGGGTGTTTGGAGTGAGTGTGATGTTCCATGCGGCACTGGTATGATGTCACGTACACGATCAATTCTAAATGCACCAGAGAATGGTGGCAAGCATTGTCCGTCACTGGTACAAAAACGTGGTTGTCAAGGATTCAAGTGCCATGGTCAACGGGATCGCCGCGTACTAAGAGGTATGAGTTTTTGCCATTTTATCCGAAAAGAAAGTTTTTAATGCACGTTGCGACCATTTCGTAATTTCCACAGCAAAATGTTAATTAAACACGAACGAACTTTTATCATGGGCTCCAACGGAATTTTCGGTGCCTGATGAACGTTAACAAATTTTGAGCATTTTCAATGAGTTGTTCGTGTAGCAATCAATAAAAGCCGTATTTGGCAAACACTCGGCTATTTAGTATTTAATCCATCCGCATGTATAATGTCAGATTTCACACGTAGATAGCAGTGGGCATAGAAGTGTCGTGTGAAACGGCAAATTACTTTTGACACCACCAATCACAGTGTCGCGTGAACGAAACGATTTTCTCATTTCGGTAAATTTATTACGAGCCCCAGCTAAAACGGGAAGTACTTCACTACGTATATGCTGTACCCATAAAATAAGTCGAAAATAATACTCGCACACAAAAACTAGGTGAAAATTGAACGAAACATCAGGAAAAATAATAATCGGTACGGTGACTTGAGCTAGTACCGCTCAACAGTTACAGAAAAAAACGAGGGATTTAAGGAGTTTTTTGTTTGTTCATAATGCAACACTTACAGCCAACACTTGGCAATCAACAGTGAAAATAATCCGGAATTAATTGCGCTTCGAATTGCCCGCACCCGCATAAATAAACGCCATTTGGTTTGGCTTGTTTTCGAGAATATTAAAATTTCACGGTTAATTTATAAGGGAAATAAATCGATGGAATTTATAGACTTTCAGTGCGTTTTCATAAACACCATAAAATAACAGTATCGCTGCCGTAATCTGTTGTGGCTGACGAATTGCAGTACAGTATGAACGCTTTCACGAAGCGACAGAGTGTTCATAATGTCTTTTTATGCTCTGGCTCCACCTTGAAAATATGAAACTTGCACATCTTTCATATTCGTTGAATTTTTTATGAGACATAAATGCACTCGTAGATGCTCTTATGCTATTTGCTATGGTTTTTTTACTCTCTGCTACGCAAAAAAAGCGAAAAGCCGGAGGGATATCGCACTTTTAGTTTTTCCCATTGCCAAGTTGTCAGTCATATAGGATGAGTTGAGTCGCGCACAAAGTGCGAATGGGAAGAAGTTTCCATGTCTGGCACTCAATTTTGTTTGTTACGCGGTAATTCGCGTGGAAATCCCATCGAAGAAGCTAGCATTCGAAGAAAAATTGCGGCTGCTAACGTAAACGTGCAATCGCTACAATATGCGCATAAAATTTATCATAAAATAAGATAGAAAAAAGATTTATATGCGAGAGCATATGAAACAAACAAAGGCGGCAAGTATATCATGATAGAAGTGGAGTAGTTGAGATCTGCATCGTTACTAGACATAGTCACGAATATGAAAGCTTAAGCGCATACGATGAGTCCTAGTTATTTCAAATTATTATTACAATTGAAAAGCGCACAGAAAATATTCATCACGAAAAGAAAATGAAACGTTTCTTCATGCGATAGAAAAAACGCGTCTAACATGAATGAAATGTGCACGACGCTGTCAAGAAAACTGATGCAATAAAAATGTATGCGTCGCGTAAACCAGTGACATTCTAAACAGTTTACTCCGAACGGTATGAATTCTTTGCCAAGTTACTGCCATTTCATCCATTATTAGTTATACGGACGTGCAAAGCCTTGCAAGCTCATTAGATTAAGCTTCTTTCGTGGTTTTTAACCGGAACATTCCGCTCATGTACTCGTACTAACGGCGCATCACATCGAAAGGCGATATTTGCATCGCATGTCATAAATGACGGCCTGAGAAGAAGAACATATCCTACAAAACCTGTGCGCAGAACACAAACACAGACATTTTGTAGTCAAAAGGCGAACAGCAAATTTGCGAGCGCAAAAACCTAATATATTTACATCGAGCGCAAAAGTATAACAAGCCTACTAGCATGCAAACTCCGTATAAGTAGACCCGTTATGCTTTTGCGCTCGCTGTAAATATATTAGGTTTTTGCGCTCGCAAATCTGCTGTTCGCCTTTTTACAGATTTACATTTTGCCGTAACACATTAATATTGTAACGAAGAGCCAAAGTAATGCTATTACAATTGTAATGCCAAAATTTAGCATTACCGGTAATGTGTAACAATTATAATAGCTATTACTTGACCCGTTCTGTAATAGCTATTACAATTGTAATAGCTATTACTTGACCCGTCCGTTACAATATTAACATGTTACCTAACATTAACGGTAATAAAATTCTGGAAGTGGGTTTTGGTGGATCCTCAGGATCGTTCAAAACTGCGCCCGGTTCGGGAAGTGGGTTTTGGTGGATCTTCAGGATGGATCAGACTGGGTTTGACAATGCCCTAGTCCATCCTGAGGATCCACTTCCAGAACCAGGAGCGGTTTTGAACAATCCTGAGGATCCACCAAAACCCACTTCCAGAATTTTCTTACCGTCAATGTTAGGTAACATGTTACATTTGGCATTACATTGCGTGTGTAATGTTAGAAAATCAAATTAATAATGTTAGAATTCTGGCATTACCGTTAATGTTAGGTAACATGAAAATATTGTAACAGACGGGTCAAGTAATAGCTATTACAATTGTAATGCCAAAATTTAGCATTACCGATAATGTGTTACAATTGTAATGCCAGTCATTTGGCATTACCGGTAATAGCTATTACAATTGTAATAATATTACAGGAAATTTTTGTTAACGTAATGCTACTACCTACTAAATTTTTAATGCCGGTAAATCTGTACGCCTTTTGACTAAAAAATTTCTGTGTTTGTGTTCTTCGCACAGGTTTTGTAGGATATGTTCTTCTTCTCAGGCCGTCAAATAATGTACATGTACCATTTTGGTGCACCCAAACAGATTTCTTTTATTTTCAATGCAATTGGATGGGTAGCATTGAGATGAGCACGAAATTATTAAAGCCTCATTTTGCAATAGAATGTCTGACTTTGTACTTCGAAAGCTTAGCATTTTGGCAAAGTCAAACCAAAAATTTATCGTAAATCTTACATGGAAAATCATTGTGGGGCAAATCAACTATTCATAGCACTCCGGAAATCCATATTGTCTAACACATATAATTTTACTTTGCTAGAATTTTCTTTTATCTCTTTCAACGTAAAAGTTTTGTAAGTTTAGACGAATTTAGCGGTTGTTCTATCTTTCGTCTTCAGTGTGGCAAGCGTACAGTTCAAGTTCTATCTTCAACAAACCAAAACTGCGCACAACACATCGATTGATGTGGAAAAGTTTTTCTTCAGAAAAACCAACAGTAAATATTGAAAAGTATCGTTTTTTATATTCGAACTTGGATTGCCTTCAATTAGTATGATCTACAAATGGCATCGGTAATCAGCATGTACCGACTTTATTGGCTGTAACTCGCATAGATTGAGGAAAATTATGCACATAAAATCACAACGGAATCTTAACATCAATTGCTATCTTCATGAAATTATTATGGTGTGCATGAATCACAACAGCAAATAAAACGTTGACGTCAATTATGCATTCTGCTTTATGATGTGTGTAAAGCCGTTTGTTCCTCATTGATTCCGATAAAATTTTGTGTTCAAATTCATGGCATGTGAGCAAAGCTTATGCTCCTCGAGGCTCCTTAATGTCTTCGACGTTCTCTCTTTCTCTCTCTCTCCCTCTCTCTCTCTCTTTCTGCCTCCTTCTCTCTCGTATCGACGCTAGAAAATCACACATAACCACACCCAAAGCTCAAACATAAGATCTGCATAATATCGTATGTGGGTAAATGGTAAATTAACATATATTATCAAGTTATTGTCCGTGCACGAGTGAGCGTAAATGACAATCCACAATTCAAATACGATGAGATTCGAATTCATCTACGGAGCTTACAATTTTACCATACTGAGCACGTGAAGACATCCCATGTGACTGTTTACAATTTATATGTTATGATAGGCGCATCGCAATTATTCCACATCGAATTGGTTAATTCTCTAACAAATTTCAGGTGCAATCTATCTTAAAACCCCAACCAATATGTCTTACAGTACATTCAAAGTGGCAGAGTAGTCATTTTAGATCTTAACTATCCATCTTCTTAACAACGAAGTAATTGTTTTTTAGTAATCCAAAGTGTGATTTCGGTAATTTTAAGTTTCTATACTTAGCAAGTTGCTAAAAGCTACTAACAAACAATGAGATACAATAAATATCAACGATATCCTTGGGATTTTAATCAACAAAAATACACAAAAGAAATTGCCTCAAGTATGTGACACAATCCACTTAAGCTTCCTCAGTGATGGGACAAAAAAAAATGACGAGTAAATTAATCCGATTGCAAGAGAGAATAATCATAATATCTCAAGCAAAACTTTAGCTTCGCTTCAGTTTATGTTTTGAATGTCATTTCAGCCTATCAAAATAGCTACATGTCTCTTGTCTCATTCGCAACAGTGTGTCATAAACGCAACTTGAGTGCTTATGACTTTTCATAAATCTGTAACAATATTACGGAGAACTTTGTCATTAGAAAATGGTTCTCATGGGTTGCTTTTCGAAAAGCGACAAGCGTCGAATTTGGAATTCATTTGTGAACGTTTCCATTTGTAATCATTCTTCGTGCTACATGCATCCATCACCCGAGCCGGGATAATACGTGCCAAGCGTTTATTAGACAATGGCGCAATAAACTGGTAAAATCTTGATTTACAGCCTAATGAAGCAGAGCGCTTTCCACATTGAGATTCACGGGCTCGTTGCATGGCCGCTTAAATAATTAATAAAATCGCTCGAATGTTTTCATTTCAATAGAACAATGAGTGAATGTTCACAAGTACACCAATTTTGTCGCACGTCCCGTATGTAAATATGTGCAGACATCATATGGCATGAAATATGGCAAACTACACGCTAGACACAGCAAATTAGCCTAAAAATTCATTGCCAATGCTATGGCAATGTTCAGGCTTAGCGCAATACATACACGCACACACACACACGGAAAAAAGTCTAACGATGATCCATTAAATTATAGTATCGTGGATTCACAGTTTCAGATTAGACTAAATCCATTAGGCGCTGATGATAATTGGGATTTAAATGAGCATACATCCAACGCAAAAACGTGCTTATGCACACTTTTGCCGTTGTATGGGCAGCAGGCAACAACACAATTTTCCACATGTGCGCTGTGTAAATACTGTGTTTACTAATTCAGCCACCTACCAATTTTCTAAGCGAAAAGCCATTCCGCACACATGCTGCGCTCTCTCAGACTCATTTTTTATTAACACACAATTCCTTGCACTCTTTCTCTCTCTCTCTTCCTCTCTCGCTTGCTAGAAGCCCACATTTATGCATCTCACAAAACTAATTTGTTGTGCCCTGTAACACCACGAACGATGATTCATACGTCTAGCACTTCATACATTACACACATGCTCCACTCTCTCTCGAACTACTCGCCACGGAGATCGTGTTTCATGTGGAACATTTATTAATTACTACTTATTATTAAACGGTATACGAGTAGTTTTATGTTTGAATAGAACCAGAACCTCTTGAGATAAGTTTTAATTTTTGTTTCGAATTTTTTTCCCCAATCGTTCCTCTTTTTTTGCACACAAAACCCGGAAAGTTTTCGTGCAAATTTGCCATGTAGAGTACGGGCATCTCTATTTCAACAACACTTGTTTATTATCATCAGTTACGGGCCAGTGTGTTCAAGATTCATTACACACTCTGTGTGCCAAATTCATTACATACTTTGGCGATGCTTCTTGTGTGTGTGTGTGTGTGTTTTTATGAACCATCTAACAAAGATCACTTGGACTTAATTGAAGCTACAGTTTTACAGCTTTATTTTTGGTTTTATTGAATTATTTCCGTGCGTCCATTTCATACGCTAATGCAACGCATTATTCCATTTTTATTACCATTTAATTTTCGAGATAATTGAGTTTTATGCACACTCCAGCTCAGATCAATGGATGCTTGTTGCGCAACCACATGTACTAAAAACAATCGCTGCCATGATCCACATAAAATAAGGTGCTGGCTCCGAATAATTAGATGGAATTAAATGCTCTTTGAAAATTATCAATTGACTGTATTGCTTGGAGGATTTTATGAGCTCGGTAATACCGAGTCGGTATCAAGGTCAATGTAGGCTGCGTTTAAGGCTCTTGAGCTCAAAATTAAACCAATATCGAACTCATACTTGACGAACAGAATATTGAAACGAAACTTCGCTAACTGGGTTTCAACTCGAACAAATGGCAGAAATAGAAACAAAAACTCATCGAATCGGGTCATGGTGGCCCTTTCCACATTCGCAAAACGTAACTTTTCAGCACGAAATAGGATTACATAGAGCCAAAAAAAAAATCGAACATTTCGGAGCAAATATTTTTTAATGATGTGGTTCGATTGGGAAAAGCTTGGTGGAAAAATCCAACATTTCATTTTGTTGGAAAATTCCGTTCGAATTCGTTATGAATTTTTGGTTCCATACATTTTCTCTTCAAATTCGTTGAATCATGTCACAACGTTTTTTTCTGCTCGGAATTTAATCAATACAATCGAGTTGTTTTCTCCGTATTTTCATCTAGCCATCACAAGAGCAGAAAAACTGAGATGGAAGCTTAATTTATTCCATGTCCTTGATTTGAAAACTGCATTTTTCACTGACTCTTTCTTGATCGTGTTTGAATTCATAAAATGGCTTCGAGAGAGATCATTTTTTAAAAAAAGTCTTCATTGAAAATTGATTTTTATCGGAAGGAGTGTCATCAAACACACTCAGAATGTAAGTGAATCGAATGATTTCAGTGAATCGGTTCATTTTTTCTTTCTTCATTTTTATCAAAGGTTGATTGGATTGCAAATGGCCTGCGGGTGATCACAAGCTGAGAAATAGAGCAAGCAAAATGCGACGAAAAGAAAAATGTAGAATTTCATTATGAAAATGGAGCTGATGTTGACATTTCGAAATTAAAATTTCCAAGAATTCTAGCATCCTCACCATATGATGATGCTTCATGGTTTTGATGTGCATCAATGAGTCTAGTTTTGGTACTATTCAGTCTCTTCTTCTTATGTAAACTACCCAGATTTAGTGATTCAAAATATGCTCATTACTTATTTCTATGAACAGATTTTTTTTCAACATGACACAATTTCTCATTCACAAGAGTACACTAATTAAAATATTGTGTTGAAATGCACAAAGGGATATTGCAACTTTTTTGACCAGAAAAAACGCCATTTTACGTCGTGCCCGTAAATTATTTTACTGTACATTTAGATGGTAGAGCTTGAACAAAAGTTCGACACTATGCATAAACTTGGAAAGAGCTTGATAAACTTGATGAAATACATATATTTTATGGTCGTTGTTAATACCACTATGGAAATGCATATGGGGAAAAAATAGCCTGTCAGCTTTGATAGTGTACTATCATGTGTGTTTACATATAATATGCATGTTTCCTAAAGAGACCAAAACCAGTTGTACAAAACTTATAACGAGCGGTTTTGCAATATGATTTCAATTCAATCACTTTCAGGCATGGTTATGTTATGATCCTTTATTCAAATTTTGAGTCAAGCAACTTTCAAACAAAACGACTATTGAATCAGTACCGCATGTAAATTACATTAAATGCAGTACATTTTACGTGATTCTTTGCCCGTAAATAATGTGCTTGTGATTACAAAATTTGCCAACATACTCCAAATGTAATGTTCCTCTGCAACACTGTTGTCAGCGTTGAAATGTCTTATATGGATGGTTATGCAAATACAAATAAAAGTGAATGCAAAGTAAGCAACTGATTGATGATCGAGATATAAGATATCACGCACTCGACTCTGTCGATGCGACATAATTCAACACAAAAGACGATTTTTCGGTTTGCGCAGAAGTAATTCTTTCCATTTTGCGTCTCGCTTGCATAAAGCATTCGAACAAATGCGCCAGCAATACGGATTAAAACAGTCATAAATCAAATTGAAATATGGTTTACGATCGAAGCAAGTACATTAAAGTCGGAAAATCAAACCAAATAGTTTATTCATGGTATATGTGTACGTACATAATTTATAAGTAAGTACAAGTTTCCTAGCTCTCATCACATCTCAAAGTCACAATAATAAATGTGCTCCGGTTCCGGTATTTATTGCAACCAACAAACAAATATAACCGTATGTAAATGTGCGACAAGCTTTTATGCACTTTCCGGCAAATGAAACCAAATTGATAACAAATGATTATTCACGATTTCGAATGTAGTTTCGTGTCATTAGTGTGTCATTAATTTGACTAATATAGTCATTGTGAACACATGCATTTAATCGACGACTCAAACTTGGACAACCAACAACATGGTTCGACATGCACAAACAACCACTTTCAAACGAATAAATTGTTGTACACTCACGGTTGACAGTCAACAGTCGTCACTCATTCAATATTTACTTTAAATCCCTTGATTTGTATAGAGCATGGCAAATGATGCGTTTCACCAGTGACACGATGCAATTATTGTACATTAGATAGTTGCATCTCAAATGGCATGGCAATTTATTGCTTGTCTACTGTCTGCCATTCGGAACTCCTTGACACATTATTGTGCAGATTTCCACTTCGATAAATTCGAATCACGATAACTCTGTCAAGCAATAAATTGTCAGTTTTACTCCATTTAATCCATTTACCGAGAAATAACGTATCTTCTTTGGAGCGTTGCGGTCGATTTTATTCTAAGTTTTCGTATCCATGTTCGCAAAGTTACACCTTAAAACCACGGAAAGTAATCGCACAACTTTAATGGGAATTCTCTTTTGCAAAACAATTATTCAATTATAATTTGTTAATTACATTTATGAAATATTTTTCAGCTTAATTTAATTTCGTTCATGAGCATTGTATTCACCTCAAAGCCACAGTCCGAAATGAAAGGCTATGGCAATTGAACGGCTATGGCAAAAAAAAGCGAAAATGGTATAAAAATATGGGTGTTTTTTAAACACAATCTGTAATTAATTTCATAAATGAACTGGAGCCAAAACTCACACAGATGAAATGGGTTTTTTTTTGTAAACTCCACATAATCACATACTGGATAGAAATGGGTTGGTAATACAATAAATCGAGATTATTATTTAATTTGGTCGAAAATCCACAAATGAATTTCCATGCGCTTTATTCGTTCGAATTCAGGGCAGATTGTAATTGTATACAGCCCAGCATGGTTGTGTCAAATATTTTTTTGTCGTTTCTCTTTCATCATTATTTGAACAGATGAAAATTAATTAACTCTGTTACAGAATTTCATAGGCATTCAATAATGTAAATTGGAATGTGAAGGGTGTGAGTGTTTGGATTTACAAACGGAAGGGAAATAATATCAATAGATCTCAGTTTCATTGTAATGAATAAAAAACATTCCAGTGGAACATGTTTACATGCCCAAAAATCCGTAGCAAAAAGTTGAACGGAGGCATTCAATCAAAAATTGAAATTGATTTTCTTTGTGTGATTGTTGCGATGACTGCGTCATTTGAATGCGGAAGCCATTTGTAATGGCCGGATGTTAATATTGCAGAAGATGCCAATTGTTTGTAGTTACAAAGATTTTATTGGAAAAGTTTCATCTCGAGGGCAATTTCAAGCAAGCGACACCCAATGACAGAAAACAAACTGTGAGCACAACCATAAACAATCGGTACAAGCCATAACGGTTCCGTTCATTAAATATTATTTCTTTTTCAAATTAAACCGAGGAATTTTTTGTTTTTCGAATCTTTGGAAGAGATAAAAAAAAATAACCGAATTTTTTCTGTTTTATTTTTTTCGTTACAGAAATGGCTTTGTTGCTACCGGCCGAACTATCAAAGAGCCGACACGAGAACGATACAGTCGACATCAGGAGAAATTTGCGGCTACGATACAGAGACACATTCAAACACAATCGGGATCATGAGTAAGTCAACTCCCCTCGTATAACTATTGACATTTTTCAAATTGTAGAAACCATAAAAAAAATATATATAATTGAATCGCTTCGACTGTACACCATTCTGCTCGTTGTTTTCGATTTTTTTTGCTGCTACCATAGTTATCTACAGAAAAGAACAATGCAAAAAGTGGAACAACAATTGATGAGAGTGAAAAAAGTTGAAATGGTTTCCATCGCTGGATTATTTCCGCTTTCGACAAAAGTCCAATTATTTTTCTGGTCGCACTTTAAAACTCAGCACAAAAACCATTTCAACACATTTATTGTCCTCAATTGAATGCGAATGCCATGCAATTCTAACCGAATTACCGGTCTCTTGGATGTGAAATGTTGGAATTGTAAACGGATATGACCTTTTCTACATTTGCACTCCGTATTAGATTTAATTTGAGCTAAATATGGATCGAAAAACTTTCTACCACAAAAATAATTTGAGCGAACAGGGATTGAGTGAACCAAATGGAGCTCAGCTGCAGTTCCAACGATTCGGACTTTGTTGAGCTTCGTGTGTGTGTGTGTGTGTGTGTGTGTGTGTGTGGCTTGTCGCTTCTGTACTGATATTTTCCAAAAATTTAATTTTCGAAAATTGAGTTCATGTGCAACATGGGCAGCAATGCATTTGATTGCAGTGTACAAACACGTCGAGAACATCATTGACCGAAAATGCAAATACCTTTTACATTTCCGCTTTTAAAACCCGTCGACCGAAAATTGAAGTTTTTCGCTTTCAAGTGCACTCGACGCATCTGAATTTTGCTCGATGAAATTTTGTAATGGCAGTTGACTTTGAGTATGAACATGGACGAAGGAGATAAAGAAAGGATCGAGCAAGCAAATAACGGGTTTTTCTCTTGACAATCGACATCATCAGTAGAATGCACAAAACGGCTTTTGCATCAATACACCTCGGATTGTGATACTTCAAGGAAACCACACAACATTTTGAGTGTTTGTTGGTTGATGCAAGTTTCAGTAAAAAGTGGTGAATTCCGATATGTTCAACCTCAAGAATATTTTCAAGCGAATAGACGAATCCAGATTGGGGAATGCTGGAAACGATAATAACCAGACGATATATAGCAACAGTTCAAACCACAAAAACAAATAAAATTGAGCAAGGCAAAGAGAAAAATTGCGCAACAGCAAAGAATTACATTGCTATGGCATATTTCGATACGTAAAACGGTCTTTTCTGGATCTGTTTGTATGGGTTTCGGATTCATTCCGTTGAATGCGTTTATGACACCCATCACAATCACATCAAATGGCGTACAAATAAGCAGACATATATGGTGCTTGGTTGGGTTTCCTCTTTTATTGCTCAACGATGTAGCTTAAGCACCAATCATTTCCGATTTAACCGATCCAATAAAATAAAATACAGACGAAACAACCAAAACGAAATTTCCTTGCCATTTTTGTTATTGGCATTGGCAGAACAAACTAAAAAAATACAAACGCACACTCCTTTGCTCCGCGTCTTTCACATCCGAGCGCAAAGACGCACAACGTAATTGTGATTACATTCTCAATGTGCTCGTTTCATATACCGTGGCAAAAGTAATTATTATGGTCTAACGAGAATAAAAACGGGTTTCGAATCCAAGCACACATTTTCGAAGATAAACACTGAAACAAAATCGCAATCATAATAAACACGGAAAATGGTGAATTCAAATAGGATACATACAGAAAGCTACTTTTTGCTTTTCTTATTAATTCCACTCTGTGGGAAAATCGATTGATTGGGTAAACTGTTTGGCAAAATTACTCATTTGGAATACAGATTATTGCCTTTGAAGTCTCAACAAAGCCGATGATTATGGTGTTTTTTCGTGTTTTTTTTTCTTTTTCGCCAAACTTCGTAAACTTTTGACGGCGGCAAATTTGTGTCAGCATGATGCCAACCATATTTTTTGGCATTGTTTTTATAAATCATGATCAGCCGTTTGAATGGGTGGCCACACTTTATGTTCTCTCGCTCTTAGTAAAGTAAAGTTTCTCACATAGTAAATTAGAACCCAGCGATTTTGTGCCCATCGGACTTATGTGCCGGTTAATCAAATCATTTTTCTTGCTCGTGCCTACATACTAATTCATTGGATTTGGCTAATACCCAAAATGAGGTTTTGGGATGTGACTGACTTTATTGACAACCAACATGACTCATGACTATACCCCAAACACAAATTCATTTCAACGCAAAAATGGAAGAAAAAAAAATTGATTGCGTCAGCACACTGATGGAAAGAGTGCGAAAAATTCTGATTTTCAACACAATTCATAAGGATACTTTCTGTTCTGCAATGCTGGAATTCTTTCTTTCCTTCTTTCGCCATTTCGAAAAAGGATATGCTGCGTTTCCTTTTTCTCACTTCGGACGGATTAATTAAGAAGAAAAGAAACTTTTTCCCCAGGTACTCCAGATTGTTTTCCGTAATTGTGTTTTTATTTATTCGCACCCAGACAATGTATTTGGATAACGTCAGCTATCTAACTGAAAATATCTAGCTGGGGACAGCGGCTGACGAGTATGCGTTGCGTTTTTAGCCAATGAACTCCACTTCGTTTTTATACTGCTAATGCGTTGAAAAAACGCAACGCATACTCGTCAGCCGCTGAGCTCAGCTAGATTTTTTCAGTTAGCTAGCTGATGTTATCCAAATACATTGTCTGTTCGCACCGAAGTCGCTTTTGTGAGTGTGTATGAGTATGTGTAAGTAGTAATTTCAATGATCTCTTAATCATGGTTGGAATCACTGTTTGCCTGAATGCTTTTGCCTCCAATTTCATTAGGTGTATATTGAAATCGTAGACAAAGAAAAGAGGTGTCAACACTTTGTAGTGAGCAAAAGAAAAAATCATTTAAAATGGGGAACGCTCTATTAGTATTGCAAATGGGAAAGAAAAAAAATCGACGGAATTTCCAGCTTACAGAGCTGAAGAGTGATTCTCGCTTGATAAAAAACAAAGTAAAGAAGAAAAAGAAATTAATTCACGTTTTTTCCTCTAACAAGAAAGGAATGTCTCCGTTTTTTTATGGGGAAACGTAATAAAATTATACGATTCCAACATTGTGTGCGTTTTTTTCCATCTTCGAAACGGGTTTTTACCTTGAATCTCCTATCATTTTCTTCCATTTCAAAGTGCTTTATCAACTACTTTTTAAAGAAATGGCTTCCACCTCGTTTCATCTAATTATGTTTGCATTTGCAACTGATACTCTGCGACTTTGTACGGTGTGGCAAAGAGTTTGAAAATAGAAATCCTCCCTTTCACTCTTCACTGAAGAGTCTTCAGTCAGGGAATTCAGTGCGTCAGCGTTGATTTTATAAGTTTCCTTCGAATGGATTCAATTTTATGTTTTACGATTTCAATTAAAATCGGATTCATTCACCAAGCGAATCACTCTGTCATTTCATGTGAAAAAAAAAATCAAGTGTACGAAAGTTATTGGCACAGATGTTGTCGACACAATAAAATTCCACGAAAAAATCGCATTTGATGAGAGGATACACAGCTGAGAATGTAAGCTCTTCACGAGAAATTAATTTTCCGTTTATTAAATGAAATGAATGGATTTTAATCGGTATTTATAAAACACGGTATAAAGACATGAAATGGTTTTCTGCGTATTAGAAACTGCTCCGTGCAAAGTAATTAGAATTGGCTCTTTATCAAAGACGCAAATTGATTTCAACGAATATTAATATGGTATTCATTCGTAAAAGACGTATATTTCAATTATTCCCATTTCTCTGAATCAAATCTTAAGTTATTAGCTTGCCATAATCAGCCGTTGGTTGGAAAAGCGAGTCGCTTCAATGCATTTGCCCACAGTTAAAATGAGTTATTCTTTGGTTTCTCATTAAATTGTTAAAAAAAAGTACATAAGAAATTGCATAAATTTCGAAATATTTACCTTTGCTGTCGAAAACTCCCTACTCTTATCATAGGATGCTGATTCTTTTTTGGAGGAGTTTTCTCCGCCCACCGTTACTTCGTTCTTATTTTACCGTCGTACGATGACTTGTAAGCATGACGCGAGTTTTTTCAAGGAATGTCAATCGACATGTTTCTTTCATTTTCAATTTCGAAATGAAATTGCGTCACTGAAAAGCATCCTTTTGGAATAGGAGACCAGAAGAGGATCTGTCAAACAATGAAATTTCTCGCGTAAAATGGGTGAAAATCGAGTGGAAGCAAGAGTTGGAGTGAAAGGGCAAAAATGGCATTGAAGGAATAAAAATAAAACAACGAACTGAAGGAGAAACTGTCAAGTGCCTTTTGCCTTTGTCACTGTCTATGCAACAGGAATACGAATTATAAATTGATTCGATTTGCCACGTATCACAATGTTTTACAGATGCATCAATGTGAAATGATTTAATAGCAAATTGGAACAACGATACCTTACGCGCTCACACTTGTGTCGCGCGCATTTCGTCATTTTTCCATGTGTTTTTTTTTCATGAACGAAAAAAGACGAAAACTTTTGCTGTGTTTGAATAGACGTAGAAAAATTCAATGAGCAGAGAGAAATACGAGACACTAGACTGGAGCAAGAAGCACGATGTTCAAAGAAAAATTCGCTTTTAATAACATTTTACGAGATTTTTTTTTCTCTACCTTTACCCAATGCTAGTCATCTGTGAAATTGTTTGTTGTAAAGTACACAGCGCAGCATAGAATAGGAAAAGCTCAAACAAGAACGGAACTAATATTAAGTTAATGACAATATAAGCGAGAAACTCATCGCATCGCTCTCTCTTTTCTTTCGAAAAGGAAAAAAAAGATATCATCTGGTGTTGTTGCTCTTTTCTGTTTATACAGTGAAATGTGTCTGTCATAACATCTTTTCGTGTGGAGCAAAAACACTGTCGGTGTTTCTTGTTGAGTGTCCGTTCCGCTTATTTCTGTTTCAGTTTAACTTGCTGTGTTTGTCTCTACAATATTTGCTTCTTCCAGGTGCTTTAGGATATTTGTCCACACTTCAGTATGCCAACAACACGAATAAAAAGCTTAACAGAATTCATAAATTCTCTCTGTGGCTGTATCATATTGTACAGTAAATTGAATTTAAAATAGATTACTCATTTCTTACTGGCCCATCAGAATCAATTCGAAACCCGGAAAATGAAAAAAAGGCAGAGCTACCATAATTTCCACTAAAATAATCAACATTAAATATTCCCATGAATTATTTTACGAATTAATGCAATTCAATTGGATTGACCCAGATCAAGCGGAAATTATGCTTTAATTAATGTGCACACTTTGGGATTTGTATCAGGTCAATTAGCACTTTAGCCATATGTTTCTGTGTCAAATTCTGAACGTACTCAAAGTGATGCGGATGTATTGATTTTCGACGTTTTATATCGGTCAAATTAAAGCTCATTTGTGTGGAAGGAAAATCAATTATTTTTGAAAAATACAAAATGATTTCAATCAAAAGTCCAATTGAATATTAATTTAGTTCAATTTGTGCAATAATGGCACATGTTTTGTAGCCATGCAACAAAGTATGAAATAAATTATTCTTCGTCGAATATATGTATATTTATATTCGAATTGTGTACATTTAAGATGACATTGTTTCTAACTTTTAATTTAACTTGTCAACCGATTTATCACTTCAAACGTTTACTCAAAGATTGGAACAGGATACGGTCTGTACAGGAAACACACTATCAATTTCATAGTATGAAAACACTCACACACAGTTTCACAGTGACTGCTTCCATAGTGATTTAACGCTAGACAATATATTTAATTACGTCCAACGACAACATATTGAATGATACGAAAATTCTGTGTTTTTCATTTCGGCATATCATCGTCGGTTGTGTGTCCATTGCCTAAATTAATTTCGTAATTGTTTGTTTTGCTTGAAATTCGATAATACAGCTAAAAATGAATGAGCACAAAACTTACCTTCAATTATGTGAGCCTCGACCCGAATAAAGCTGAAATTATGTAATTTCAAGTAAAACAACGTACCTACCGTATTCGCTATACTTGAGTGTCTGCGTCTGTTGCTAGAATACTGTTGCGTAAGTTATTGACGGAGAGATTTGGCAGATTCTGCTTATTATATTTTCTCGAATGTTATGGGAAATGTTGGTCATGAATAATGTACGAAAAAAGAAGAAAAAAATAGCATCGAAATTGTCAAATTGAACAATCGAAATTTGTGATCACTTAAAAACATTAGTATGTTCAACATACATGCAAACTTTAATGAAAATTTAAGAGAAAAAAGAATACAAAATGCGAGAGGTGATTAAAGATTTACGATCATAGCAAAGTAGAAAAAAAATCTATGAAATTTTTAATTAAAACAGAAAAGAAGAGTTTTAATTATTGTGCTAGATTTTCTACAATTGTAATGATACCGCACGCAAGCACATTGCCGACCGCCATTTCTTCGGTTTGGTATGAGACGGGCTGAATGGCTTGCTCGGCAACGGGCACTCCGTAAATATCTGGACTGCGATTGAATTCAATGGGTTTCTCATGAATTACAATCGAACGACCGACAACGCCACGATGGCCGAACAGTTGAATATGCGGGCTAAAAAACGACAGATCGAGATTGCCCGATTCGGGTACGTCAATGTTTCCAATCTAGTTAGTGAACGAAAACATGGATAAATATTTAATTTTCCATTTTCCACAGCTGGCCGATGGATGTGAATTTTCTTAAAATACATGATGAACATATGTGCCGAGTCTTATTTGTGTGTCTTACCAAAACACCACGAACGTGTGGTCCGGTCGATTTACAACCTTGTCGCATATCACCGAACGCATGTATATGGATGGCATGTTTACCAGGCGGCAATCCGGTTGCGTTGATATTCACCAGAACGGGATTCACCGGGCCTATTTGACGGAAGCTCGCTTCACCATTTTTGCCATCACCTTCACCTGCCCACAGCATCGACCATGCTCTCCAGTTTGGTTCCGGTGACTGCACATTTTCACAAAACATGCAAATTAAATCGTATTTAAACGACGAGAGAATGAGAGGAAAAGTGAAAAAAAATGTTGGAAATCATCCTGGCTCGAAATCAAAGGGGTGTTTCGAATGAATCACTCAAAACAGTGGAATGCAAAATCTTTGTTTTACTAACGCACACACACACACACACACACACACACACACACACATTGAAAATTGAAACTTACAGGTGGCCCATAGATATCATTCCCATATTGACCATATTGACCGATAAACTTTGCATCCAATGGATTATTGGGATGATTTTTACCCGAAATTATTTCCACATCTTTATCTAACACACTTTGGCCAGCAACAAATGCCACCAATCCAGAATTTACTAGCAACACAACTACTTTGTACAACGCCATCGTTTTTTCAACAAACACACCAATTCCACTTAAACACAGCAATCGCAGCCGATGCAATTCATTAATTAGGAATGATAATCAAACACTTTGAATTTCAAATTCGGAATGTTTTCATCGCGAAGCTCAACAAACGACTGACCGATCTAGCCACAAGTTGCTTGTGATTTATATAGAGAATTTTATGATACACCGCACAGCACAGCATGCATTTCATGAGTTCGTTTTTTGTTTTGTTTTTATTTTTGCAAATCATTCTAATGAAACAAAAACGTCGTTCCGTCTCTTCACAACAAGCGAAACAATTAAATTATATAGATTTAAAAACAGCGACAAATCGAGAAACACCTCAACTACCGTTCGACTTTTCGACGCATATATTGTATCTGTCCGGCCGAGTAGTGAATCGATCAATTGTATGCACCTGTTGTGTGTGTGATACATTGTAAAAAAAATGCAGAAGAACAAAAACGGCTTAATTATTGTAGAAGTTGACATCGATTAGAAGCAAATGCATTTTTACTGTGGCAAAATCAATTGTTTCGCAGAACACTCTGTTGGCTGGCATTTTCATGCGTCGTATGCGCTATGAAATCGCACGAAAACAATGTTTGATGAATATATGCAAGCCACCATTTATGATGACGAAATCGGGCAATTTTGATGCAAAGTACACGAATCGGCATGCGCCGATTATGTTTGATTGCTTCGTGTATCAGTGACGACGAATCTACTCACTGGAACGAAAATAAATAACGAAAGAAATGAAAGGAAAAAAAAAACTCCAGCGAATTTGTTGAGCATGTATTTGTTCAAACGCTTGCACGATAGCTACGCATCGTTCACTCCAACGTTATCACTGTAGGCGTAAGCATCGCGTGTCTCATCAACATATCGTTGCATGGGCAACTGTGTCTCTGCGATCAGATGTTGTTGTTCGCACGCGATTATTCTTCATTCTATTGCACCCAATGAATAATTACAATTTTCGATATTTTTTTTTTTGTTATAAATAAACTTTATGTTTTAATAATAAAGTCTCTTCCGTTTCGGGTTTTTCTGTGCGAATTTTTCACACTTGTGTGCAAATAGACTTTGGAATGTTCGAACCCGCATTTGAACTGGTTGTAATAGGATTCGTATTGAACATGTTTGTATTCCCAACGAGCATCTTCTTTGACCGAATTTCGATCGAGAATTAAAAAGAACAACAGATTAATTTTGTTGTGATAATGTTTTGCCAACGAGTATTTTCCTGTTCCAGTTCACATACCATGTCAGTGTGTTGATGTTAAATGAACGTAACGAATGCTTGCCTTCATTTTCTTGTCTTGTCCTCAACATTCACAAGATTCTCAACATTTTCTTGTGTACATTGCTCTGAATTCATTCCGCTAAATTGTGTCTGGCGGAGGAAAAAAAAACCCTTCGCCGAATACGGTTGCGGTTGTTGGCGGAAATGAAAAAGTGCTGTGTTTTAAATTGCTGGCATGTCATCATGTTGCTCTTAGGCATCTGTTGGAAATGCTATCATCACAATTCCAACCGTTGTGTCATAAAAGTGTTCTGGCCGCTGTTTCTTCGTCTTTCTCTCTCTATTTTATCAATTAAAACGCGCGTCGTTGTCGCTGCCGTTTTGCAATTGTACCAAAGCAGACACGAAGAAGAAATAGAAGCGGGAGAAAAAAAATTCACTCAAATAGTTTCTGTTCCGTTTGCATTGACATTTTATGGCTTGAAGCGAACATGAAAAATGCAATGGAGACCGATAAGAACAGGAAAAAAAGAATCGTCCCAGACTTTTATTACGTTGACAAACGCAATGGGATTGTTCATGAAGAAAATGCGCTATCAAAAAGCCATTTCCACTTGGTTAACTGACTTGAACAATTTCGAAAATGCGCAGACAAGTTCCGATAGTTGGTTTGAAAATGCTCTCAATCGTACACTTTGAGTTAAATTGATGCTACCTGAGCATTTTCGAACAGAGAAGGAGAAAAAAGCGCCCGCAGTTATGCAACGAAACACCAATTTTCGTGCACTTAAAAGAGCAAAGAGCCTCATTTCGTCTCTTGTGCAAACCAAACGAGATTTTTTTTTCTTCCACATAATAAATCGCCTTATTTCGCTGCTTTATTCTGCTATGAGCAGCAACGATAAGAACCGCATGAAAATACAAAATGTAATTGGCTTGCACAGCAATGACCTGAATTCATCGATTGTGATTTGAAGTGCATTTGAATATTCGCAATTTTCAATTTAAACGCATAATAATTTATGCCATGCAACGACATACCGATTGGTCATTTGCATTCAAAACATGTGTCCAACTGTGAAATGTGTCCATTTTGTTGTCAAACATTTCGAATCAGGAACGCAATCGCTTATGCATCTTTCAAATGGAGACGAATATTGATATTTTATATTGAAATGAATCGCATGCTGATTGCATCTTCATTTTATATCATGTCGATCAACTTTGAAATGCATGTGCACTGACTCGAGCATTTGCATTTGTATTGGATACACTCTACTCTTCGTTCGTTATTGCTGATGTGAATGGCAAGGAATGCTATTATTTGAATCGACCATGTATTCCATTGCGATTGATACACATTTTCCAAAATTCCCCAGTGATTCGGTGCATTATTGAAAACTGCAGCTAACTACTACTATTACCGATTGTGATGTGTCTTCGGTGAATTGCATTTTCTACACACTGCAAACATGGGAGTTTTACGTCGATGCTGTGATGTGGCTTCGAATCACAGCAAACGCAGTGGACTTTTTGCGGCATGAACACTCTTCACATGAATACTTGATGCGTTTAGAGTCGTTTTGGCATTTGATACATCTAAATTGGCTTTGCTCCATTTCAAGTGCTGGTGGCATTGTTGGTGACAAGCGCAAATAACACTTTCATTCGTTCGCCGGAGATTCTTCTCAAAGTAATCCTCTACACAGAGTTGTACAGGCAATGCGATGCTATAGATTTTTTCACTCTGCTTAACCATCTCGCTCTCTCTCTCCCGCTCTCCCTTTCTCCTTCTCTCTTGTTCGTATTCAATACTACTCAAAGTGCACAACACCTAGTTGAACTCAGCGCCTTTTCACAGTGTGTTGATTCAGTTTAAATTAAAGAAAAAACACGCCATTCACAGCTCACTGGTATGTGATATTGATATTTTCATAAACCCAAATCTCATGTCACTGCTTTACCTTTATACTAGTGTGTTGCACTAGAAAAAATGGGCAAAAACACGTCAAGGATAGGTTATTTCGATTCAAAATAAATGACGATCGAAATTCCCCATCGATTTGTTCATAAATACATTTCGTTGCGTGCATACGATTCGGATTCTAGATTTTTCCCAGTTTCGAGCAGTATCAATATCGATATATAAGATTTTTTTTCTCACACAATGGCATTGTTGATTTGGTCGTTTTTTTTTGCTTTCATCTTATTTTCAATACACAGCAAATAATATCTGCTGGAAATAGCGCAAATGCTGTTGTATCCAGTTTAATAGGATTGGAGTGCCTTTGACACAAATCAAGCGCATTATTCAAGTACAGATGATTTCAGAGGCAAAAAAAATGTCGACAGTGTCAGCACTCCTTGTGCTTCTTCAGTTTCTTCATCCATTCAATCGATATGGAAAATATCGAGATAAACTAAAATTTCAAATTTTCTACATGATTCGAGTTAGTTATGAAGAAGGACGTAAAAAAACTGCTCAATACGTTAGCATTCCTTCTAGACAAAAAGGGAATGATGACTAACATGATAAAAGTTTGTTCAAACTTGTCTATAATTTGGTATTATTATGTAGCAAATGTTTTAGCAACGCCGAAGCACATGTTTGGCTTTGAATGTATGAGTTCTTTAGCGTAAGTTTTCTCACTAAATTAAAAATTACCGTTCAGCTCAGCAATTATTTAGTTTTGGCTGGAGGGGGGGGGGGGCATTTAAAGCATCCGATATGCCGATAAGTTTTGCGAATGTGATACAAAACTAAATCGATTGGACATTGTGAACATTGAAGCCATCGAATGGGTTGCAACCGATATTGATAAGTTAAACAATAGAAGAGAAATGCACTCGAAACTTGAGCCACACTTGGCCGGAGAAACTTTATAAAGTTAGTTTTCCATGCTGAATATCACATCGCTGTGGATGATCACTTGAGCACAGACACAACTTCACAAACAAATTTCTGTGAAACGTGTTCTCTTCCAGTTACACGAAATCTATAGGAAAAGTTCGTTCGTTTGGCTCGTTCATGGGTGATTATTTTTGCACGATCTCAATAAAACTAATAGTTCTAGAGAATGGTGTTCGGCATCTTTTCCACTTAAATGTAATTAAAAGCAAAGAAAAAAACTAGACAACGTTCTGCAGTATATTGCAGATTTTAAATTGCCGTTCGATTGCATGGCAAAATATTCGCTCCATCTTTGGAACTGCAACTTTAATTTCTTGGCTTGTGTTTTTTTTTCTCCTTGTGTTGCTCAATTTCCTGTTTCACTTGCAATATATGTATATATCATGTCCGATGTAAGGAGCAAAAAGCGGCTGGGATAAAAAGAGCTCTCCAGAGAAATCACATCAAATGAAACGAACAAAATTAAAGGGATGTGATGGAATGTACAGTACAGTGTGCACAACTCTTGATGCATTCATTAAATTATTGAAACAATCATAGCCGTATCGACAATCGAATTTAAGAGTCAGCAATCAATTAGAAAAAATGTAAGAATCAAACCAAGGCAGCATCGAAAACGATTAATTCAGGTTGCCATGGAAGCTTCAATGCTTTTCAAATTCAATGCTTTTTGAATGAATCCATCTTGAGAAAAATCGAGAAGTGGAGATGTGACTCTGAGTGAAAAATTAAAAGCAATTAAGCGATGGAATTTTCAAATGTCAAATGTGGGACAATTTTTAGAACAATCAATTCGCGTATTTCGTCGAAATTAAAGTAGCTTATAATATATTTATTTGCATTTATAACAAAAAAGCGGCTATACTCTCTTAAATAATTAAGAGAGAACATGTTTTTTCCATTAAGTTCCACTTAAAATACAGTTGGGCCATATGAATCCGGTTGTTTTGTGTCATAGATAATTTTAAGTTTGAAACAACGAGTTGCTAATTTAGTACTAACCCAATTCAATGTTTTAACATAGACCGTTTTGACCTTTTTTGCGTTGCATTTTCTCATCATCGAAATTTTCCTGTCTAATTTTAGGTACTGTGTCGAATTTGAAGTAATTAAAGCAGCAAAAGCATGTCATAAGCTTCCACCATACAATAAGTTGACCGAAGGTAATTTAAAATTGTTCAGTTCACATTTTTTCCACCTCTCAATCAGAAGAGCCAATCAGTTGTTAAATTCGATATTCGTGCCGGATTTTTTCGTTCTCTTTGGTTTCAGGTGACCGAGTTGTTATTCGGTGCGACTTGGAGGCATTGCAAAAAGATACAGAGCCCGAAGAAATCACCGACAACTCGTCCATACATGAAGATTCGCCGAGTTTCCGTTGCCGTGGCGAAGGTCTACCCGGACGAAACACACGCTGGAGCGCTTTGGCTGCACCATCATGTCGTGGCAAATGGCTACGCTTAACCGTCGGCCAACCCAAGAAATGTACAGATTCACAGTTCATTTTTATTTAAAAAAAAGAAGAAGAAGAAGAACAAGAAATTTTAAAACTAACAAAAAAGTTTCATTTGTTTTGTAATGCTCGTGCAAATGCATACGAAAAAAATAGAAGGAGAGTAAACAAACTTTTTGTGTTCGAACTTCGGAATTTGAAGAACTAATAAGAAAATGGACGAAATACAGAAATAACAATCTAGAGCCATAGATTAATGCAATATGTTCCCCTCTTCCTGCTCATCATTCAAAAACAATCGCTTCGAAAACGTACAGCTTTGTTTCATCCAGTTTTTGTTCTTCCTTCGCCTTTCAAAGTCATTACAAGTTCAGTTGTAGTTCATTTTCAGTTAAATCCATCAAAAACGGTCACGAGCACATTTGGTGCGAAGCCCTGTAAGCATCATAACAAACTTGCTATATTTCGATCATTTCAAAGCGAATTTAATTTAAGAAAATAAAAAAATAATAATTGAGAAAAAAAATTTAAATCTGGAGAATGAAAATAAATTTTTAGGAAAGAAAAATGAGAAGATTTTAGAGGCAAACCGATGAACCCATTTCATTTGTAAATATAAGTTAAATACACGGTTTAATATTGTTTCTTTTTTCATGAATTCAGTAAATAATCAATTTTGAAATTAGGCTTAAAATTGCGTTGAATGATAAATGGAATCAGGCAATTGGTCATTTTCGAAAAGATGAAAAGAAAACACACAAAAATACAAACATTTTAGAAAGTGACGAATTGTTTTAAATAAATTGTAAGATCTGTATTAATAATAATAATGATAATAATAATCAAATTTTCATTTTTCAGTGGAGTTCATTCAAAATAAACAATAAAAATAAATGAAGAGAAAAAAAGTAACAAATACATCAATCGAAACGAACGATTTTCCACATCAAATCGGTCAATTAAAATCATGAAGTATTTCATGTTGAAGACAAAATACATGCATATATTTTCCTATTGAAATGTAAAATAGAATGTATCACATTCAATATTACAAATTAAGACGCAACATGAGTGAAGATAATCAATAAAACACAACTGGTGACATTTCGATTCTGCTACATTTGTCCGTACACAAAAACCGTTTTGAATACATATCAAACAAGCTCTTCTTCACACATAAACACAAACACTTAAAAGCGAAAATGTTTTCATTTGAATTTTAACTGAACCGCAACACATTTTACCAAAATTAGAACAATGACCTTGTTTCAAGCAGATCACAGCCAAATTACATTTCATTTTCAATAACATTAGAAGAATGGTCCATATTTGTACGAAAATTGTGTCGTACATGCAAAACAAACCATAATTAAATAATTTTAAGGATTGTGTAATATTCAGTCTAACTAAAAAAAAATAATAAAAAAATACACGAACAAATTTTGATTTTCCATTTTTAATGTTGGGTCGAGAATTTCGAGATGGTATTCAAAAAGTAAATATGATTCCATTTGATTTAAAATATGGACATAGAAATAGAATTCAACAAATTCCCACCATTTCGATTATCAAACGATCGAATTTTATGTTTATTCGTGCATACTTTGTTGTCAACATTCTAAAAGCTGCAACAATTAATATCAACAATATCACTTTTATATGATTTTATGCGTACTGTACACGAGTATACATTTTCATTGAATAGAGAGTATTTAACCTGCACAAAGAGTATTACAAACTTCCAGCAAAGAATTTTCACAAAGGGATGCAAACGTGGAATGCGACGAAAATGATATCAAAGGTAGCGCTGTGAAATCATATTTTATACTCCCGCAAAGAAACGTATACACTTGTTTAAGAATAATAATCCGGAAACGGTATAAGAGTGCATAAAAGCGTTGTGCTTTGATCTGTCATTAGTGCAGTCGAAATAAAATGTGTTTTATCATTGCACAACGGATATTCCTTTGTTATTCATACTGAAAAGATTTCTCCTTTATTCATTGCACAGCATTGTATATTTTTACTTGGGTTTGAGAATTATAAATTAACACATGCAAATGAAAGCGTCACAAGCAATTTCTTTTCTCTGCAACCCAATGTTGTTTGGGAACAAAAAAGCACACAGGAAAATGAATATTGCGAAATTCGTGTACCTCGTCGTTGAGCAAAACAACAGACATTGAGATAACATGATATCTGTTCATAAGCATTAGGAGATAATGAGTTGCTTCCTATACAAAATCGAACATTGCTAGGTACTCCTCTGTTGCTGTTGAGATGGTATTCGTATTCGCACCGAATTTAGTTTAATCACAACATTTCACAGCAGTGTTCGATTTCATGTTTGATGCAATACTCTATCTCACAACGCCTATCTCTATATCCGCAAATATGATGTTTATTCCACGTACTGACGCTCTGCGCAAAGACGAACATTGCTTTCATATCTTGATTATATTCTCTCTGTTTTTCATTTTCAAAGGACTGATGAAAAAACGAGCTACTGTTCGTGATGTATGAAATATGAAACTGGAGCATTCACGAGACATAATTCGCACCTACACTAAATTCACATGCATGTATATTCCATAATGGGAATTCCAAGCGCCTCAACCAAATGAATGAAAGTGTGTTTACGCTTGCAGTTGATGTGTTTTGTGACGTTATGCAACAATTTACCTCAATCGACCAGAATTTCATTAGAATATTACATCAACTGCATTGTGCTCATTTGTTGTGCTTCCATGCAAGACTTTCGACTCGGCGCTTCGACAAAATTGTTGGATTATTCCATCGCTGGTGTACTGTGCATCTCTTGACATATGCGAAACAATTATCTAGTACCGCTACGAAAAAAAAAGATCCGTTTGAATCCATTGTGACGCATTTCCTGCCGTACATAATTACATTTTCGTTATTTAATTACATTTAATTCATTTTGAAAATGCTAAGTTATTCACTGTTGTAGCTTAAGTGAGTTATGCACGCTGCTGCATTTCGACTTTGGAATTTAACTGTTGGAATTTAACCAACAAAAAAACATAGAACATAAGCAGAAGCGTTTCAATCGACTGACGAATGCAATTATTGCTTTTCCGCGAACAGTTAACAAAGTTCTGTTGTTACACAGAGAATTTAGCATGCAAAGCGCTTTTGTTAACAAACGTAAGTTAACCATTTTATAACCACATTTTCAACAAAATATCGAAATAGATTGCATCTCAGTGATTGTTCTTTATGGTGCAAGATGTTTGGTGTATTGAAATTGTGAGCTTTATGGGAGGAATGTGTTGCATGCAGCTTTTCAGAAAATTCACACAAGCATCTGGTATTACAAAAGGAACAATTTGGAACATGTTTCAATAAACGAGATAACAACGTTTGATACATACATTAAAAACGGGTTTACTTTACGCTATTACCTTACTTATCATCTTGAAAGAATGGTGGATGACTTTTCCGCTTCTTTGACATGTAAATGTAATTTTAATTTGCTCATGTTGCAACCTATCGCCTTGCAGTCATTTAATTTTGCCGCATCTTTAGTGAACTTTCAATTTAATTATGTTAAAATGTTTTGCAACAAACAATGTACAACATAAAATAAGAATGAAAAGAAAAATCTATAAAAAGTAATTAAACTAAAATTAACGTATATTTTCCCTTGAAGTATATACACTGTACACAGCGTTGAAAATTCACAGTCCACATGAGCTGTGTGGAAATTGATGAAAGCATTCGATTATCATCATCATCCATTAAGTGTGCTCAGTCTTCGGAAGAGTTCATCTTGTATATGGTGCCTATTTTCACTTTTTCATATAAAATTCTCTCTGTCTCTTTAATTTAATCAAATGAAAATGTGCACGTGACAGTATTTATTGCTATAGCAACAAATATATTGTTATTCGATATAATAATGTCGAGACAGGCAGAAAAGTGACAAAAGAAGAATTGTTGCCACTGCTCAAGCACGAAAAGATGGAACGACAAAATCTTATTATAAAATGTAAATGAAATGATAATGGGTGAGAGAGAGAGAGAGAGAGATGTGTTTGAATAGAAAAAAAAAGTATGATATCCATGTGTTTGCACGTCATTCTCTGTGTGTATGGCATCGATTATTTGTGCGACACAAACAAACGAGCAAACGGAAACGACCGATGGAAAAATTGGAGTCGGACCGATTTAAAAAATTGTTTGGCAAAATATTTTCGCAAGCCGAAAGAGAAAAAAATTGCATTGGAAAAGCGGCTTGTCACGTTTTTGATGGTGATATTCAAATGGTGTGCGCCATTTTCCGACTATGATCCTCTTTTTATGCATAAAACGAAATACTTTATGACGGTACCTTTTTTTTTCAGTTCATCGAAATTGAGATGAAAAATGCTACAATTTTTTTCGAACCGTAATTTAAAGTATTCAAAATCATTGAAAGTTTCATTCGACCAGAATAATACAACGACGACGACGACGACCAAATGATGATGCGCAATAAAAACAAGACCATCAACAATTATGAAGTCGATGAAGTTTCTAAACTCAAAATATTGTTATTGCACTGTTCGTTATGCTTGGTGAATTTGAATTTTTCGTTTTTTGCCGGACGAGCACAGCACACACACACACACCACTTTCTGCCATGGATATCCCTGAAATATTCATAGAATTATTAGTCATTCCGTTATTAGTTACCAATTTATATATGCTTGATAATGGTTAAGCCCTAACCTCAGCCAATGCCAGTGGCTAAGTCAATTTCATAGGAAAGTAGATACCCACATTGGAAATGTTTTTGGCCAGTGAAAGTGTTATCTTATGCGATGTGCACTCCAAAATGTGTCTATCTTGTTCAAAATAATTTTCTGCACGAATCTCCGATTGATTGGAGCTCACGAAATATTCGGTGAATATTCCGCCACAAAAGTAGAAGAGCAACATTTGCCACAGATTATTTTCCTATACGAGCACGTATTGAGTTGCTCTTATTTCATTGGCAAATGGTTGAAAGGTTCGATATCTTTGTTGGCACACTCTCTTGCCACATCAATCCCGTGCGAACAAGACCATCAAAATGAATAAGATATTGGCAATACGGATGGAAAATGCAAACATTTTCGATCGATCTTAGTAATATTAATATTTAAGGAATCGAATGGGTTTTCGGTCGATACAAAAAAATATATATGTTTTCCATGGTAAATTCGAAAAGAAGCTTATTACAATATGAACACTGAACCAAATATCCAATAAAGTTAGAAAACTGATGGGTGCTGTCATACTAGTTCGCATTTGATTCACACATTACGGACTTGATATACGTATTGGCAATTGAATGCTTTCGAGTACAATACCAAAAATAAAATCAAAACCAAACCAAATTCACATTCGAGCGGTTATTGCTTGATTTCTCGGTTGGCCGTGTGCTGGTTTCAACACAGGCGCCACAATTATGCTGCATTTGTTTGCATTGGCTACCGTTTGTTTATTTGATAAAGTGGAACATTCGAATCAATGCACTCATGTCTTATTTAACATAATTCCAAAGTAAAATTATGATTTTATGAATTCCAGCCCGATTGAACCAAATTCGTTCACAAATCGAGTCCATTCTGATTACAAAAGTCATTAGTTGTTTGTTGCATCATTCAACTGTGCGTAAATGTTTTCATCCTTTCTTAATGAAGAGTGCGTATACGCAAATCAACGGTTCGCTCGATAATTTCGTAAATCGAATGCGTAAAATATTGATTTCAGAAAATTCGATTGTTTTTAGTTTGGCCCTGTGCTGCTCTGCGCTGCAGCTGTTTGCTGAAATCAAAACAAACCAAGAGATTTTCAAAATGTTTGCTTAATTTTCCGGAGTAGAAATTCGTATTTCTGTTGGTTTTTAGCAGTTGCAGCAAACATGTTGCAAAATCAAATGTTGTCATGATGGGGATAGAGTGAGCGAGTGAGAGTCAGAGGTAGTGAAAGATGATACACGACCGTTTCGAACTCTGATTTTACAATAACAGTAATATCTATGTTCTGATGCCGGAAAATGGCAGCGAGCAAATTGTTATGAAATCGATTTGGCGATGGTTTCGAGCGATAGACATGATGCAAAAATCACTAGCAAAATCATATTGCCATCTGATTTATTATTGCTCCTTCAACGTTTGAGTTAATAAAGACACACACTCGGCAATGCACATTCGTTTGTTGATAATTCCCGTTCGCATGCATTGTTTGCTATACAAATTTATTCGCTTGATGCGCATTTCAAACACAATGCTAATCAATTTGTGCATGAAGATTGATGAGTTGATGGAGCGCATAACAATAAGTGCGTTCGTGCTAGAAAAATATACGAGAGAATCAAATTTGCATATCAAAAGTATGGGTTTTGCCAGCAAAACACTGCGAAAACATACGATAACCCACTATATTTTTCC